ATATTTTCATATTTTAAATTTATTAATTAATTCTTAATATTCGATTTATACGAGCCAAAATAAATCTACAGTGGAATGAGCGCAAGCTTAGAAAGACTGAAACCGAAACAGACCGATCCGAACCCGCCTACACTGCCCGTTTGCAAATCAATCTGCAATTTGCCAGTTTTCACTCAGTTACTACAAAAACCGAAATGAGAAAGGAAACGGAGCTAATCAGCTAGTGGGTCATTTATGGTCTCCCTTTGGACATGAGAAGCATCACGCTACCAGATTGTTGCTACTCCTCTGCATACTGTAAGCGCATGACTGTCATCCTCATGGGCAAAAGCAATAAGTCCCCTTCTCCTCCTCCCGATAAGGTTTTTCCATTTACTCCAATGGTTCCTTTGTTCTCTCTCTTTGTTTCAGCTCTAATTCCCAGTGCTACTCCTTTTCTTCTCTCTCTTTGGATTAATGGGTTTCGTTTACCATCACTAGTGTGGCCAAACAAATCATACGCAAATACACCTCCTTGTGAATTGAGTGTTTATTTCTATTGTCAGGATACGTGAATCACTTTTCACCACGCTTTTTCTCCTTTTAACTCGCTTGTTTGTTAGTATTTGTGTATCGAGAGCACAGAACTATCAAATTATATGCCACCAATTTTGGTTGCACAATACCCATATCATATAGAGCATTTAATAAATTATACGGGCTTTGATGGAGAGAGAGATACTTCTCTCGTTGTATATCAACTAATTCAAGAACTGTTAAGTCTTACCGACCAAAACAATTTGGGAAAAAATGTTTTGAGTAAATCAAGTCGTCCACTATTTGAGCTAAATAGATATGGTGAATTTTTCTCCAAATTATTCAGATTATTTTATTTCTTTACATTTCTTGGGACCTTTGCCATCCATTTTAGACTGCCTCTGACAAGGTTACCATTGATAGGGTCCCGAATCAGCTGCTCCAAGAATCACATCCAATGTCAAACAAAACTTGCAGTTTTTAAAGTTGTGGAAGGTATGTCATTGGTTTGCTTCTAAGATATGTATGCTGCTATTTATTCTGTATCCTTTTATCTTATCTGAGAAAAATCTCGTAGGAATATCAAAAGAGGAAATCTAGTGCACCTAAGCCTGCTACTAGTTACAGGAGAAAGAAGGTGCAAAAGGAGGACCCTCCAGATGATACAGAACTTTATCGTGATCCTACAACAACTCTTTATTAGTAAGCACTGTCTTGGTTTCTTTCTATGGTCATTTTTGAATCAATCCACTTTTCAGCTTCTTGGTGCTAAAAGTTTTTACAGTACCAACCAGGGTTTAGACGATGCAGTCCCTGTCTTGCTCGTTGATGGTTACAATGTATGTGGCTATTGGATGAAGCTGAAGAAGCATTTTATGAAAGGAAGGCTTGACATTGCACGCCAAAAACTAATAGATGAGCTTGTAAATTTTAGTATGCTTAGAGGTTTGTACTTTGTATCTTCCATTACTTGTCTGAAGTTATGGTTGTATCAGTTTCCTATAAACCCTTTGGGCAGGCCTGAGTGGAATGCTTATAAATATTTTGTATATGCTTTACTTCTTATTACCCCTTGGAATTCTCTGCATGATCATGATGCTTAACTATCTAAACACGTATAATTTTCAAAAAAAAGAAAAAAACTATCTAAACATGTAGCAAAAGTTAATATATGCACCAATTAGAAAATGATAATGATCTCACCTTTGTGCTTCAGTACCTTATAACTTATTAAGGTGTTAATCAAGTTTGTTAGAATTGAAACTTAATCTTGGATCTGAATATAGAGTTACTTGATTAATAACAGATGTTTTTGTGCATCCATTGTTGTTTTCTGATTTAATGTCCTAACGCTGTTATTTCTGAAATATTTTCAGAGGTTAAAGTGGTTGTTGTGTTTGATGCCATGATGTCTGGACTTCCTACACACAAGGAAAATTTTGCTGGGTACTGTATAATTCTGATTCTGTTATTGTCTAAAATAATTTCCATCTTTTTTTATTCTTTATGTTCTTGACCAAGAAAATATATATATATATGTATATATTTATATATTATTTATGCTTAAACTTGCTTGTTTTGACTAGACTTGACAATTTTGGACACGACCTGTTAACGCTACATGGGAACGATATGGAGTTAAGCAAGTTTTGATTTAGGGTTACCATATTTTGTGTTTTAAACGTGTTGACATGTGTAAGGCTTGGCAATTGTGTGTCTTAAATGGGTTAAACCCGCTTAACTTGACACCTTTAGCCCGTTTAATTAGTCATGGTATTGTGTCAATTCCTATAATATGACTTGTTTAATCCATTTTTGATATTTATTTAAACAGGTTAATCGTGTTTAAATGGGTTTTACATGTCATATTTGTGTTCATCAATCGAGTTAATCATGTCATGTTGTCTAACATGTGTAATAAACATATCTGTGTACTTGTTTGGAATTTTGACCTGGTTAATTAATCATGTCGTGTTTGCGTTTACCCATTTAACTGGTAATACTCTACTTAAACACGACATGATTATGACACAACAACACAAATTGCCAGGTCTGGTTTTGATAAACCAGTGAATCTTCCCCTTACATATGGATGAATTGTTATTTATTGACAGAGCTAGGTGAGCTATTATCTGAACCATTATAATTGCAATGATGTACTTGCTTGTTTCTACTGGAAAACTTCATTCTGGTTATTTTTGTAAATTAGGCCTGCATATGTTGTTTTCTACTTATTTGATCTTGCTGAAAACACCATGCTTGAATGATGATGAATTTCTTTGTTGCTAAATCCACAATTCTGCATGCTTGCTAACTTTTTAAGTTTATCCTCAGTTAGTTTACCTTTCCTTCTGGTTTACTTCAGACTCCTAGCAAAATATTTTTTTAATTTATTGTACAATTTGTCCTATACTAATCCTATTCAAACATTGGCATGTCAGATGCTTTACATCATGTATTGGGTCTACCCATATTTCATTTTCATTTACATCATGTCAGATGCTGTACAAGAATTCATACTCCTCCTTAAAGCTGAAATTGTATGCATAACTCCACCTTTTTCTTGTTTTTTCTTTAAAAGAGATATTGAGACAACTCAAAAACTTGAACTTGCAGTAACTCATGTGACGGAGGTGATACTCAGCCATTCAACTTAAGGAATTTGACATTCAGTCATTGATCAGTTAGCAGTCATATATCTCTGCTATTGGTTATGCTAATCTTTTTCCTCTGTATTTGTTTTAGTATGACAAGTCAGGCATTGGGTATGGCCTATGATTCAATGTAATGTGCATGTGATATGTTAGTGGTTTCTATAGCTTTTGCATGAAATGCTTAGAACATAGGACAATGTATCTTTTGCAGAAGTTAAGTTTAGCAAAAAGAAAAAGGTAACATGAAGAGTCAAATGCTTGATATTGATAGCAGTCAACTGCATGAGACTTCCATAATGAGTCATAGTATGCACATAACATGCCTTATAATGGTAGCATGGTCTTAAATACTTTATATTCAAAAGTCACTTATTTATATAATTGAATTTCCTTGCTGTTGATAAAATTCAACTTTAATGTGTGATGTTAATAATTTACAACTTTCAGCATTGATGTAGTTTACTCAGGAGAATCTTGTGCTGATGCATGGATTGAAAAGGAGGTAAGAGATGACAACAAGCTGAGAATGGTGAATTGTTCCTTTTCTGTTAATGTAGCATCTTTAGTTTTATATATAGAAGGATTGGATTTCAATATGCCTCATTATGTATTTTTTTCCCTTCACATTATGGAGATAATTTTACTTTGCCTTCTTGTTTGATGATAAGTTATTTTAAACTATAAAATTATGTTCTTGGCCAAAAAAAAAAAAAGCTATAAAACCAGTTTTTTGATTTGCTCAAGAAACTGCAATATATATCATGAAGGGATTGTACAAGTATCACCAAAATTGGTTGGACATGCAGCATATCCTTCTAGGTGTTTCCTTAAACTATATAAAAGACCACCACATCTTAATATTTGAAGCCTCCTTGGTTAAAATGTGTTCAGGAGTATTGTGTATGTACGCTTTGGAATGTGTTGGGGAGTATTTGAGAGTTTCATATTAAATAAAGATGCTGCCCCTCTGGTAAACTTTTTGCATTGAATAGCACAATATTAGGGGACAGTTTCAGTTTTGCATTTAGCAGAGTCAGCCTAGTCAGCTTTGTAAATTATTTTCTACAGCATATGTTTTGCAAACTGTTTTGCTTGACACCTTCAGTATACATCTTTGTGTATCATCCGAAGTAATATTTCTTCTTGTTGTTATTGATTTCTAGCATGGCATCTCATATGTAAAACAGGTAGTAGCCCTGAAGGAGGATGGATGCCCCAAAGTTTGGGTCGTGACTTCTGATCATTATCAGCAGCAAGCGGCATATGGAGCGGTAAGCATTTTCCTTCTGATCAGGAAATTATTCTATTGTAGTGATCATGACATTCTGCCAGGCTATTAATCGTCTGATGCTAATTTCTACTATTGTGCTCATATTGTCTTAGCGGATAAATTTTGAATTCTGCTTAATAGTCAGGATGCCTTATAATGTTTTTGAGTATATAATTTCATTAACTAAGTTATTGCCACTTGACTTGTGACACTAAACTCGACAATTGAGTAGCACATTAGGTAAAGGAAATTGAAGTCTGACCAAACTGTAGCAATTACAATAACTTTGGAGAGATTACAGGACCTTATGGAGTCACTCAAGTAGTATGGCACATCATACTAGTTCACTGCTAGGGTTCGTTAGAGTCACACCTAAAAGGATGAATCACACATTGACCAGTGAATATCAAAAGACATCTTTTTTCACTATCCTTCAAGTTAGATATTATAAACCTAAGTGTACGAGCATTCGTCCACCATTCTTTTGGCCAGATATTAAATTTTACATGTAGGAACTATAAGGGGGATGCTTACTTTGTGATAAATAAGGAGGTGCTATTAATGATAGTTGGAGTTCATCTCCTTTGGTATCCTTAATGATGAAGTGATGTAAAAAGAATCCTTCATCCTCATTTATCATTTACCATGAAGTATTAGAAAAAAAAATGGGTTGATTAGTCAATAAAGCACATAGGTGGAAAAACCAAAATACTTGCTCAAAGTAAGAAAATTATTGTTATAAAAATCAAATGGCTGCCTGATTGTCTTGATCCTTGTTGGTTACATTGCATACTAAAGTCATGTCGCATATATTTCACTTTTCTTATTATTTATAATTGCTTCGATTCTTACTTGTAGGGATATTGAAAATTTTTTTATGCTTGTGTTTTAGATGTATAAGTTTTCACAGAAGAGTTTTAGAAAGTATATTTATTGTATTTTGAGTTCTAACAACATTTTAACCGTTGAAGAATTTAAAGTAAACATAAATGGTTACTTGGAAGCAAGGATTTTCCTAAATCTATAGTGGGAAACACTATTTGGGTCTTAGGAGTAATAGAGTAAGGGATAGGAATTGGGGTCTTATGAGTAATAGAGTAAGGGATAGGAATTGGATTTTAATTTGAGGTAGACAGATAATTTAAGGTTCATCTGGTGAGGTTTCCTATTTAGGTTTTGTGTTTCGTTTAATTTTTCTTTTCTTTTTTTTTTGTTTTCCAATAATTGAAAATAGAAATATGTTTGGTATGTGATTTTGAAAAATATAATAAAGTTGTTGAAAAATAAATAATTCAGTATAGAAATAGTTTATTAACAATTAAGTAATGAATAATCTCGTGATTATAGAACACTCTAAATATCAGTGTGATATTTTATTATGTTATATTATCTATGAAAAGTTTTGTTCTGTATGTTTCCTTTAAACAATATATAATCGTTTGGTAACCGAAAAATGACTTGCTGGGGGAAAATTTTGTGTGTAAAATACTTTACAAGAGGGGTCCGCTTGGTACCCAAAAAATAACTTGTTGAGGAAAAGTTTTTTTACTGTAAAATATTTTATAGGAAAATTTAATGTTTTCTATTGTTTGGATAAACCATTGAAAACATTTTTTATTGTTTGGATCATGGAAAATATTTTCTGCCATCAATAGTGGAGTAAGCAATGGTGTCATTTGATTCACTAATTTGGGATGAAAATAATGAATGGATATGAAATGGGTAAAATTAATAATAATATTTTTTAAAAATATTTAACCACGTATCTATAACTATATATAAAAGGAAGCCAGTGCTTTATCTTTGCGTCATGTGGAGTGATAATTTTGTACTGTGTGGAGCTACAGTTGATTGACATATGGGTTGGTTGAGTTTGGAGGCTTTTAGTTGACATGTGGGTTGCTTAAGTTTGGAGGCTTCTAGGTGTGGGTTTGATCTTTTTGGACTTTCTCGTTAAATGTGTGGACTTGCGGTCTCCCACGTATGTGTTTTTTATTTTTGAATTCTTCTATTTCTCAGTATGATCTTCCTTTGTTAATTCTTCTATCCCTTCTAAGTTAATGAATTTCTCTATCAATTCTGTTATCTTTTCCTTAATCATGAGGTTTCAAACAATGATTAGATCCTTGCCTTTTACCTTAGTCAGACTTTTTCTAACTTGTGAAATCATAGTTGCTAGGTTATAGGCTTTGAGGCATGCGTTAACAATTGTTGTTGACCATAAGATTGAAATAGTGGAAGCTAGATGGATGCATGACCTGTCAACTTGGTAGTAAATTCTGTTAATTGCCTCACAGTCTTTTGTATGCATGTGGGTGTATATCATTTTTGCTCCCTTATTGTCAGTAGTACTATAGAACCGCAATGTTTTCCTTGAGTAAATTATCTTCCTTTGGTGAAAAATATTTTACAGCAATTAAGTTGTTTGGATCCGATTAACGGGTTTGGATCTAATTAATGGGTGTTTATGACTACTAGTTAAACATGCTCATATCTAAGTATTTTATTTAATGATTAGTGCAATTTAATCATTCATATGTTCCTTGACTCTTACACAATGCTAGTTTATAATTAAAGTTTTAATTTTCAAAAAAATTTGTATCTCATCACTTTTTTACCATAACACTATAAAAATATCAATATTTATCAATTGTGTAAAACATCCAAAATCTATATTTATGTGTATTCATTATAAAAATATTAATATTTATCAATAGTATAAGACATCTAAAACCTATATTTATGTGTTTACTATAAAAATATCAATATTTATCAATTGTGTAAGACATCCAAAATCTATAGTTATATGTATTCATCAAATGATGATCATTGCAATATTTTTTATTATAATAATTGGTAAGATTTATTCAATTTATATATAAAAATATAATTGCATTGAATGGTTTCATTAAAAAATATTTTTTAATTTTAATAATTTAAATATTAATATTTTAAGTTAAAAATTTTTTTAAGTTAACTATATTTTTAATATTTTAAGTTAAATATTAATATTCATTGGATTTATATTCCTAGACTTAGTATAAAGGTTTTATTTTTTTTTGCTGTTTGGAAAATGTGTTATGCTCCTTAGAGACATAAGACATTTTTTGTGGTCCATGGGCTATTTTTCCATTGACTCGTAAAATATTTTACATTTGAAATAAATTTTTTATCTTTCAAATAAGTATAAGTCTTGAAAACTTTTTTTGGACAATAGTTTAGCTTAGAACAAACAGACCCTAAAATTTAATGTTTTTTATTGGATAAACAATCGAAAATATTTTCTATTGTTTGGATCATAGAGTTATTTGGGTGTTAAAATGAGATATAGGAGTTGATTACAAAACAATGTTGACATTTAGTTTTCGTTAATTTGGGATTATAATTAGGAATGAATATGAAAATGAACAAAATCAATAATGATATTTCTCAAAGCATTTAACTATATCTGTAATGAAAATAAACTCCGATTTTCAAAAATTTTCACCATATCACTTTTTTTACCATAAAACTATAAAAATATAAATATTCATCAATTGTGTAAGATATCCAAAACGTATACTTATAAATATGTATCCATTAAATGACGGTCATTAAAATATTTTTTATTATAACTATTAGTAAGGTTTAAATCTATACTTGTAAATGTATATTCATCAAATGACGATTATTGAAATATTTTTTATTATAATTATAGTAAGATTTATTCAATTTATAATAAAAATTTTATTGTATTGAATTATTTTATTAAAAAATATATATTTTTTTAATTTTAATTGTGTTAAATAATTTAAATATTAATATTTTAAGTTAAAAAAATTTTAAGTTAAATATTGTTGTTTAAACTTAAAATATTTTCACTTAAATATTTCATTTATAATAAAATGTTCCCATTGACTTATAAAATGTTTTACATTTGGAATCAATTTTCTATTTCTCAAACAAGTATTGACTCTTGAAAATGTTTTTCGAAAAATATTTTGCTTCAAAACAAATGGACTTTAAATTGCAAAATGACTAAGTAATAATAATAAGTCAAACATTAAAATGTTTGTATATGTAATATAATGTTTAAATATTACAAGAAAAATAATATTAGATTTATAGACAACGTTTTTAAAGATATAATAATATGTTATTGAAAAGTATTTGAAATTATCTTATATATTTTAATTACTATGACGTAACAACATCATATATTGTTGGGAATGTTATGTTGTATGTTTAATGTAATATTTAATTTATTAATATCTTTATAACATATAGTTTAATACTTTAATTTTGAAAATATTATAATATGATATTATTTTAAATATAATAAAATGGCATTCATAAAATATAAAAGTCATATCATAGTTTTTTATATTTCAAGTTGTTTTATTATGTTATTGTAATATTATGTTATATTGAATACATTATTTCTTTATATATCTACTTTTTCTATGAGTTTATATTATAAGTTACAATATTGTTGTAAGAATATATTTTAGACATTATATCTTTAATATGAATTGATATAATTTATTTGTATATTTATGATTTTATTTAGTGTAATTTTGAATATTACTAAAATATTATTTGAAAATAATATAATATTTTAATTCCAAAAGAATTTATATAATGCTATATTATATTATATAAAAATTGTAAATATTTTTCCATTTTCACTATACTTATATATTATAATGTTTTTTTTGAAAGACTTATATATTATAATGTTATTATAAAATATTCAATATAATGTATTTATAGATCAAAGTTTGGTTATATATGTAATATTTTATATTTTTTAACTTTTATATGCTTCTACCATAATTGTACTAAAATGGTGCTTTTGCTTCATGTTGCATCACTTATTTAATAAAAAAAGAAACTGTTAAAAAAAAAAAGGAATAATGGTAAATTGAAGAATATTACAATTATAATAAAAATTAATAAAGGTAATAATTTTAAAATATTGACTTTTTGAATATTTTGAAGACAATAATGAAAAGATTACTTTAATCACGTAAAGGAAATGGAAAGAATAAAGTGTCATGGGCATTTTAGTCATTTTATAAAATTCATTAACAGTGTTTAGGGTTTTGGGACGGAATGTCCATTTTCAATAGTAATGGACCAAAAATGAATTAGAGTGAAACCTCAAGGGGGTTTTATCCTACAATTAATTATAATTAGTGCTATTTTTAATATCTCTCATTGTTGTCTTCATTAAAATTATAAAGTATTTGAATTTTAATAACAAGCCCCAAGTTACAAAGCACCAATTGTTTTCTTTTACCTTGTAACATACAAATTAATTCATCACAATCATATAAAATATGGGAAAAGTTGTAGGTGTTTAAAGCAATAGGTATCTATGGATAAAGGTGGACAATCTATTTGGAAAAAAGGGTGTATGTTTTTAATTTGTTATTATCATGTTAATTGATACAAAATGTTTTTAGTATTTATTTATAAAATCTTTTTTTCTTAAAAATTGTGTAAGTATTATTTAATTAATTATATCATCTCTTTCATTATTACCTCTTTCTAACTACAAAATCAAAAAATGCCAATCTTATTTGCAACAATGATGAGTTAATTATGTTAGAATTATTTTTATTGATAAAGAAACATATTATATTAAAATACCCAAATTATAACTATTACTATAAAATATTAGATTAAGAGAAAATAAAAATAAAGTGAGTAGGAAGAAAAGGAAAATTAGATTAAGCTGTAAAAGTAAATAATCAAGCGTTTTTTTAATCTAATTTATTGTTAACTTTTTTTTTGAAAAAAAAACTCGTTTTATTTCCTATTTTTCCATTTTCCCATTTTTTTTTCTTCCCTGCTCTATCTCTTTTTGCTTCCCTAGCCTCCTTTCCAGAGTCATAGTTGGTTGTTGATATGGTTGCCAAAGACCAGATCCAACACGATGGCAACTTGCCTTGTTCCCTTTCCCCCACTTTCTCCTTTACTCTTCCCTCATTTTCTCACTATCAAGGTCCTCTTGCTTTGGCTTGACCTCTCATTCACTTTGCTACTGATCTTCGTGGCACTCTCCCTATCCTTAGTGGTGAATCCATAATTTTGTATGAGGAATGACTAACCAAGGAGGAGAAACAGAGTGATCTTTTAATTTCAACAGTGAGTGGTTATTGCCACCAAGATGTCTGCTTATTCTTGACTAGCTGTGTAGTTGATAATTGGTAGAAGGAAAATAGAGGAAAAGGGAAATGGTTAAGGAAGGACCATGGGAAAGATGGGAAGGAAATTATTTAACTTCATATTGAGCCACAAGGTCTAACTCTTTACAACATCCTGTAAATTGGACTTAACCAAAGAACCTTCCCACTCATTGTGAGGTTAAACTAAATCCAAGATCTAATTCTGATAAGACATGCTTAGGAATAAATGTAAATTAATAAATTAATAGTTAATAAAAAATCATCTACATTTTGGAGCAGAGGATTTCCTTGGGAAGGGATTTTGATGCATCTCTAATAAAATTCTAAATATAGTGATCGAAAGTCTAGTACATTTGAAGTTCTGGAAGAGAGAAATTCCCAGTCTTTACGCTTTGCCCTTGTATAGAAAACCCTTGCAAATGTGTTTACATGCACTAAACACTAAGAGAGAGTGAAGATAAATATAACAAAAGAAGTTATTCACAAGTGTATTATTTTTTATGCATATGTTATGGTACTTTTTATTGTTTGCAGAATATCTGGCAAAGTTTTGAAAACAGAATAGTAAGAGAGTGACATTTGCAACTCTCATTAGTGCAACGATAAACATATGTTGAAATATGGACTTTCAGTGTACCAAAAAGACGATATGAGACTTTCAACATTTAAAAGAAACATATAAAATGACGAGTTTGTCAAGACTACAAATCTTACACATACGTATAATGTGCTTTTCTCCATTTCTGTGGTCACCAAACTCTTTAATTCTTTTCTTTCCACCACTTTGCTATTCGATTGAGATTATAACCTTCTATCATATGCCTGACATTCGTTAACTCTTTTTCCAACTCCTCTAACTTTTTATTCCATTTTTCAATTGATGCAAATTTTTATGTCCAAACTTCATTACTTATTTCCATGTTAGTTGTTGAGCTTAGTTTTGCACAAATTTTATTGCAACTTGCAAGTTTCTTCCTTTAATTTTTATTTTCCATGAAAGAAAGTTTTCATTTTAATCAATTTTGCTATTCAATTGAGATTATAACCCTCTTTCATATGCCTGACATTTGTTAACTCTTTTTCCAGCTCCTCTAACTTTCTATTCCATTTTTCAATTGATGCAAATTTTTATGGCCAAACTTCATTACTTATTTCCATGTTAGTTGTTGAGCTTAGTTTTACACAAATTTTATTGCAACTTGCAAGTTTCTTCTTTTAATTTTTATTTTCCACGAAAGAAAGTTTTCACTTTAATCAATTTTGGTATCCCAGTTTTTGCATGATGGTAGATGCTACTTATAAGTAGAAAATTCCTAGAACTATGACTACTTGTATTTAGAAAAGTGCCACTTAACTGTTAGCTATTTAGAAATATCTTGCTATTCTGCCTCTTTTGGCAATTAAAAGGCTGCCACTTAACTATGTGCTTTTTTCAATTTGCTTTGTGGCGACCCAACATGTGATTATCATTAGCCATAAGTTTCACTTTCTATCTTAAACAATTGAAAAATAGTGATAGTTACTTCCTCTTATTTTTGGCAATGGTTTGATTATGGTCTACTAAATTATTCATTGTGCGTTGGACTTATTTACATAGATGGTTATATTCAGGGAGCCTTTATTTGGAGCTCCAAGGCATTGGTTTCTGAGGTGAGGCATAGTAATTAAATCACATGCTGCATTATGTATTCCACACAAAATGGATATCTGTATTTAACTTATTTATCAGCATGTGGCTCTTACAAAACTTAATTTATCTTATCATGAGCATTGTTCCTGTACTTGTTAACTAGTTACTTTGTCCTTGTTTGTTCCTTGTGAAATAGGTTAGCAATACTAAACCAAAACTATCAACCGTGATGGAAGGGGAATGGTTGCTCATTAATTTGTTAATTTTATGATACCATCCTAGAGTGCTTCTAATGTGTAACGAATAAATAGGAAGAAAGTGAAAATAAGAGTTTTCTTGGGAAACTCTTTTTACTCTAAGGAATTTCAAAGAATTTAAATTACAAAATTTAACAAAAGACTTTAGTCTTTACATAGGGCTAATACCCTCAAAAAATAATAAAATTAATTGATGATATCAACTAGTTGAAAATATCTCATCCTTATTGATAAATCATGAAGAAACAATAAATAAATTTTAGTTACCCTACATAAATCCTAATCACATAAAGGTAATAAATATCTAACTAATAACAAGATATAAACAGAAAAATTTTTACCTCTTAGAATGGTTGTGTCCTCAATGTTGGAAATCATGGAATCATCTCTTGAAGTCTTCCTTGGTTCTTTGAAATTCATCCATGTAATGGACCATGTCCATGTGGCACCTAGAAACTTTTCTCTTGTTCCCTATCACCTTGAAGGTTTTATTGATGAAGCATAATCATAAGCCCTCCACATGTTTTCACGTGGTACTTTTTGAACATATTTATGCCTATAAGATGACACACAAAAGACCACTCTTTTTCTTTGTAGGAATTTTGTCGTCTAGTAGTTGAAGTTGTGGTAAGCTTGGAAAATTTGCCATTTCCTTGAAGTTTTCAACTAATTGTAATTGAGGATGGCCTCCTTCTACTGCTTGACTCAACAAAGACTTTCATCTCTTCATATTGATCATCTTGATCAAACTTTTAGAAAGAGCTCACTTGCTCTAGATGTAATATCAAGGAAGCAGATAGTTTCTCATCTAGTTGACAACGTTTTCTAACTTGGCAAGTATGTGGTTTTCCATATTGACCAACTGGTGCAAAAGAAGTAGGGGAAAGAGATAGAAAATAGAAATTTAGAGGGAAAGCAAAAAAGAGATAGAAACAATTTGGGAGGAATAGAAAGAAATCAGAGGAGAACTAGGGGTGAAAACCTAAAACAATCAGTAAAAGGAGAAAATCACAATAATTAACATCTCAAAAAGTCAAATATTCATCATCTAAAAGCTAATTAAATCCACAAATAACATTGAATTTATAAGCTCCACCCTAAAACCCTCATAACAATGCAAATGCCAAATATAGCCCTGATTAAAATACCCATAAAAAAAATAAAGAGCCTAACCGATACTCCATCATTCACCCTCGGTTGAAAGAACTTGACTACGAATTGTTGGAATGGAAACTTTATTTTGCTTCGTGAAATCCATAAATAGGAAACATAAGCTTCTTTCTAATGAAGAAGATAAGTGATAGTTGTCTAGAATCGAAGCAACAAATGAATAACAAAGAATCATTGCCATTAGTAAAATGCCTATAGGAAGACTAGCAGATAGAGCAAAAGGCTTAAAAGCATCTTGCTCAAGTAATGCATTTTCTTCATGAAAAACATTATTAACATTCAATAGATTGAGGAAAGCGAATAAATATGCAATAAGTCCAAGTTGTGGGATGAAGAAATAAAGGTAAATGGATTTGGCACTCAATTTAATTAAATAGTCAAGCAAAAGTTCAAGAGTGATGCAAACCATGACATCATCGATAGCAAACATAAGCTGCCTTTCCAATGAAGAAGATAAGTGATAGTTGTCTAGATAAGAATCAACAAATGCATGAAAAAGAATCATTGTCATGAGTAGAATGCTTGTAGGAAGACTAGCAGATAAAGCAAAAGGCTTAAAAGCATCCTGCTCAAGTAATGCATTTTCCACATGAGAAACATTATTAACATTCAATTGATTGAGGAAAGCAAATAAATATGCAATAAGTCCAAGTTGTGGGATGAAGAAATAAGGGTAAATGGATTTGGCAACCGATTTAATTAAATAGTCAAGCAAATGTTCAAGAGTGATGCGAACCAGGACATCATCAATAGCAGCAAATTTCTTAGTATCACTATGCATGTCCATAGTAAAATTTAAATCTATATAATTTGTAAAAATTTTGTCTAATCCTAGCATGGATATCAAAAATACATTTATAAAAGAATTTCAAATGATTAAAAAGAAAAGTGTCATGTGGAAGAATAAAATCAAGAAGCATGTGGGATTGATTATTAGTTAGGCAATAAAATGAACTTTTGTCTAGAAATTTATGAGCGAACTTAGGGTTAATCCCTGTAATAGCTGACTTCAAACCATAATTACAATTCTCCATTTCCATCATAAAACCCCAAAAAGGGAATTCACTTGTACACTTAGTAGGTATAGTACCAATATTGATGATCTCATTGCCACCGCCACCCTATAATCAATCTCTAACATTCACATCACCCATCATCAAGGTAATTAGGTGGGCATTACCATCCTTTCCTAGGTCATCTTCATCCTCAAACTATTTGAACATTTCCCTTTAAGGGTTCCTCAAAGTCTTGTTCTACAAATAAGGCTTGTTGTTGACATTTTAAAGCTATGTGACCTTTACCATGACATCAAAAACTCTGAACTGAAGAGCTATTCGATGCCTTAGAACTACAACAACTAGAATTTCGAGAAGAAAATTCCTTATTCTTAGTAGTGCTATTATTTTTAAGCTTTGAAAATAAGACTCCTCTAGATTGATCGTGGCTATCAAAATTGTTTAGAAAACCTATGTAATAGTCCTTGTATATCTCTTGGCAACTAAGACACTATGGTAACCTTCATCTCAACAATCTGAAGTAGACAACTCTACAGCCTCCCTAATCTCCTCTCTACGCCCATGAATAAATCTTCGAACTATGTGAAAAAGTTTCTTCAAATATTTGCACCCTAAGCATAAGTTCATCAAACTTGTTCATGTAACTAGACACAATAGTAGTTTGTCTAAGGTTTAAAAGTTGGTGATACAATTTACTTTTATGATAGGGAGGTAAGTGCATCTCTTTCAACTTTTGTCTCTTGACAATCCATTGAGTAATTGGAGGGTCACCTAAATTTTCCAGTGCCTATTGGACACCATTCCATTCTTGGCTGCACCTACCAATTTTATTATAGCAAACTGCACTTTTTCTATATTACTCACCTGACAACATTCATAATAGTTCTTCAACTCTAGCCAATCTTTTCATCAAAAGATCATAGGTCAACCTTGTCTGACTTGTGAGCATCAGAATACACATGATAATGCATATCATCCTTAACAAAGTGTACCATACTTAGGGTAATCCTCATGTTGCCTAAGAAAATGCCTATGGCCCTCTCGATGCTTAAGGAAATTCCTATCACCCTTATCATGTAAGCTATCTTGCTGAAAATTTCTTTCAGTGTCATAATCTTTACTAGTCCTAAAAGATTCACTAGAATGATATGCATGCTTAAGACTAGATGGGCATCTACAAATTTTCCATCACAATCAACTTCACCCTTGGACTTTGGAGGATCTTAGGGTTCTTTAATTCTACTTTAACAGCTTGTCTAAGGACTCAACCATTCCCTAAGTTTGTTCCTGGAGTGGGAGGAATACCTTTACTATATAGAGTTGTGAGCACATTTTAGTCAATTTATGGGTTCAGCCTCCTCCCCCACCGTACATTTATCCAATCTCTTTACTATTTGTTTAACTTTTGATTTATAATAGATATTGCATGCTCCATCGAGTCCATTTTACCTTCTAAGACTCCATTTTAGTGGTTTAGCCATTCATTCTTCTTTAGGGAAAATTGAGGCTAAAACATTTTGGGAAGAAGATTTTAAATCAAAGGCATCAGAAGTTTGAGTTGTAACACCCCATACCTTGGTGTAGTAGCCCATATAACCTTATCTATAAGACAAAGGTCAATTGAAGCTAATTGAAGTGCTAAAGAGTGGTGAAGGATGAAAGGAATATTTTGAAATAAAATAATAAAATAATAATATCTTATTAAAAATGAGTTAGTGGAGTTAAAAGGTGGATTTGAAGTGAATTAGGGCAAAGTAAGACACTTTGAAACTTGATAAGACAAGTGAAAAATTTTAAAATAAAATAATATTAAAATAATTTTGATACAAGAACAGGTTACATCATATGAGATATAGGTTAAGTTTAAATGGGAGAGAGAAAAGAAATATAATTATTGGATATAATGAGTAAAATGATATGTTATTCATTTTATTGTATTATATTATATTATTTAAATAGCGAAATTTTTGGTGACATGTAAATGTGAATAAAGTGAAAAATAATAAGAGTTGGCACCACTTGGCCGGTCATGTGGAATGGAAAGGAAACAAAAGTCAAGAGAAAAATTCAAAGCTTTTCACTTAGTCAACAAGTAGTAAAATCTCGTCTATTCTTTTTTCCTTCTCCCATCCTTTCTTTTCTTTCTTTGTGCACAATTCCCAACAAGCTCTCACATGTTTGGCCGGCCATGGAGAGAGAGAAAAAGAAAAACAAAAGTCAAAGCTTCCTTTGTAAGCTTTTACCAATCTAAATAGTAAAATTACCATTTAACCCTCCTAAGTTCTCATCCTTTTTATTAAGTCTTCCCATCACTTCTTAAATTTTAATTTTTTTCTATTTCCTTTCTTGATGTGTGTATAAATATACTATAAGGTTTGCACCCCATCAACGTGTCATCATAATATTTAAATATATACTTACTCGCTTGTGCTCCCTTTAATAAAGACACGTGAGTCTCGCTAACCTCATTTTTCTTCGGTATTCTTCTTTTCTTCTTCTCCCCACTTAGATAATCTTCTTTTTTAACTAATCTCACTAATAAATAAAATATTAATATTTTAATAATATTTTATTCATAAAAATATTATTTTATTTAAAAATATTTTTTTTACCTATCACCGTTCTCTGACACTTAGGCTTACGTCAAATAACCTTTTTGCTCATCAATAGACTCTTATCAATTTCTAAATGAGGGTACGGGGTGTTACAGAACCTCTCAAATTGGACTTCAAATTTGGAATCCAAAGGTCAAAATTAGCAAAGAAGGGTCTAAAAATTCTTGATGTTTCATGTTGCATGGCGCAAATGTGGATGCTGACATGATAATGGTTGGTGAAATGGCATTTGGTGGTGCAGTCTAGTGTGCGAAACGTGCCCTAACCCTTAATGGCGACAACCTAACCTAGCATGTGCAATGGCTTTTGTGTATGAAACTTCACCTGCAAGACCATTTGTAGCTAGTGACAATGGTGGTTGTGCCTCTATTCAGTGGATAGATAGCAACATATCTAGCTTCATAGTTTTGGTTTTTCTTAAATTCTTTTCTGATGCATGGTGAGGCTAACGGTGATGACACTTAATGGAATTATCGATGAGAGACCGGCAGAGCTAGTGGCAACAAATATTGGTGATTGGATGGTCAATGGGGGGAATCTAGTTTTCTCGTTGTTTGGGCACTTTTGTATTTTGGAATTTCTTTTTTTTGCTCTCCATAAACAAGCCTAGATGGATTTTTTTTTTATTTATTGATCGAGAGGATAGACGAATAGTAAAAGCCATTTTAGAGCTCTAATGCCAAATTGATGTAAAACGGGGGAAAGAGATAGAAAATAAAAATTTAGAGAGAAAATTAGAACTAGACAAAAGCAATTAGAAAGGAACAGAGGAAATTAGGGGAGAAAGAGAAGAACTAGGTGAGAAAACCAAAAAGGATTAATAAAGGAAGAAAATCAATATACTTAAAATCTCAAACATCCATCATCCAAAATCTAATTTAAACCTAAAACAACATTGTATTTAAAAGCTATACCCTAAAACCCTAATGACAATACAACTGCCAAGTGTAACCTTGATTAAAATAAGCTTACTAAAATAAAAAGCTTAAGCAATTTTCCACCGCATCATGTGTATGAGATACAAAGGAAGAAAGTGAAAATAACGGCTTTCCAAGGAAACTAAACGTTGGCATATTTATCCAAATTCAACATGCAAAACTAAAGAGTTTAGTCTTTAGATATAGTGAACAACTCAAAAAATTATAAAATTAATTGATATTATTACACATAGTGATAATATCTCATCCTATCTGATGACTCATAAACAAATAATAAATAGATTCTAAATTGATTACATAAATAATACATAAATCCTAATCACACCAAGATGATAAATAGCTAACAAATAACTTGAAATAAACGGGTAACAACTTTTCACTTAGCATGTGCTGATGGTTAGCACTTTGGCAAGTGAGAGAGAGACAGAGGCATCTTATGCAAACAAAAAGTATTAAATTCATGCAACTGAAATAGTAAGTTTACTTTTTAAAACATCATGATAGTTTTAGCCTTGTATTAGTTAATGAGGATTGAAGCATTGAGCTACTTATATATTTTAGCCAATTTCCCTTATTATAATTCTGAGGATAGTGGCAATGCTAATTGTTCACTGGATTTGTTTTGTTTTAATTTCAATTAGCAATGCTCTTTTCATCCTGTCCTTATGGATGGTAAATAAGACAAGGCACTTCTCGTTTTATGATATAATAAGACCTTCCTTTTTTTCCTTAGTTTTGTCCCTACCGTAGACTAAACATCACTATAGTTTATCAACAATTAAAAACCTCTCTAGAGACATGGCCAAATGTTCAAGCTTGGTCTTGGTTAAAAAGGGTTATTATTGATAAGTGCAGCTTGGTGTTAATATAATTGCCTGTACAATTTATCTGATTTCATTGAATTAAGAGATAAGCATCCATGTTATGACACATTGTTATCCTTGATGTAGCCCTTTTTTATCGAAGCGTTGTTTGTATATGACATCGATGATATGACTGATTGTTATCCTTGTGTAACCTCTTTTTCCTGAAGTATTGTTTGTAAACTGTCATTTTTATTAATTGTTCCTCTATAATTATGTGTAGATTAATGCTTCACAGAAGGAGTTTGAGAGGATGCTTCAAGAACAAAGGTGTTCTCTAATTGGAATGAAAGCTTGTAAAACCCTACACCTAAGAAATAAAAAAAATTGCATGCCATTTCTTCAGTTTATGTACTGCATTTTGAAATTGCCGTACAACTAACTGAACTTATGTTTTGCATAAATTTCTTCTTATTCACTGATAGGGGATCTCAAAACGTTGTCATAATTAAATAGTATTGAGTAACATATTCTAGGTTCTAAATGGCACATTAGGCAAATATAATATCATGTTGAAGGATAAGCCTAAGTCTTAAATCATAATTCATGTGGCCTTATCTCCTTCACATACGCCTGTAACGATAAACTAATGGCATATTGGTCATTTCTGAGAGATCTATAACCCATTTTGTCTGCAAAGAGCTTGTTTGGCCTAGCTTTTTTCTAAC